AGCACTCACTCAATGGGAATTTCTTTGGGACTTAGTCCAACTGAAACAAAAAGTAGGTAATATAATTTTTTGGAACATTACTAGTTTTCAATGGAAAATCTTCATTCTAATATTTCAAGGTCTCTTAAAGAAGCAGATCAAAATTAATTATTAAGGAACTTGGAACCCAATCTTGTAGACTACTGAACTCCTGCAGTTGCTGTTTTCATTGAGAGTTGAGGGCACTCACCACTTCTCGTGACATGCTCCGAAACCCAGATATAATTGTGTCCACTGCAGGGTGAGAGGGAGTTGTACCACTTTAACTATATCAGTACATCTTGTGTATGTAGACAGGTCCTCAGACTCAGCATCTCTTTTCCCTTCAGCTGAGTATAGGGAAAGCTGCAGCTCATATTTCAGGTTATCCCGCTCTAGTTCCCTCAACTGAGTCCAGGAGCAACAATAGGAAAGTCCTGACCTGTATTTCTAATGTGAAAAACAAGCAGGAAAAATGCTGTGAGGCCATCATAATACGAGACGTGCCATATTTGTGCTCAGCTGCTAGAGTAATGAGTGCATTATAAATATATATGCAGCAGGCAAACAGAATTCAACTTTAATCATCTGTAAAAAAAATTCACTTAGCATAAAGTTATTGATTTTTTTCAAGACATTAATCTTTCTTGCTCAAAGTGTTTTACTGCTTTTGGTCCTGATTTATTATTTCCATTTTACCCCAACTTCTGTGCATCAGCAAGCAGAGCAGCATTTTAAATAATATTTTAGTCACTAGAAACATATAATTATATTTCAGATAATGTTGTTAGTTTAGTTATACAAAATGGCTAATGTGATGGCATCCCAAATCCTTTCCTAGATCACTGAAAATAGAGCTCACTCAGTAAGCATAGTCTCAGACTGGTAAAAATGACATTCTGCCAATTACCAATGGCAATTAAAATAAAGGGAAAGGATACTATTATCTTGTGTTAAAATAGTAATTTTGAAAAGCAGTTTAAGAGAAGGTAAAACATGAGGTTTTAATAAAGTAGAGAAAGAGAAAAAAGCTATTAGAAGAGAAAAACATCATTTCACCAGTAAGCTGGTGGTGTGCAAGTAAGCTGGTGGTGTGCAATAGAAATAAAAACAGGAATCAAATAGTTTTTCCTACAGAAGTAACACG